AGGGCTTGGGAGGCACGGTGGCCTGATTGGGAACTGCCCTTTCTGGTGTTGTACGCTGACGATGTCCTCCTTCGGGCACCTGATACAGTGCGCCTCCAGCTGATGACGAAGGATATTGTCGACTTGTTGGCCACATTAGGCCTCCATGTCAACGCGGCTAGATGCGCTGTTCTTGATACACAGGAGGGCATAGGCAATGCTGTTTTTCTTCGGGGACACTGGACGCCCCTTAGAACTGAGTCCAGCCTTCTTTACCTGGGAGAGTGCCTCTCACCTTTGATTTTCGCCCCATGACTTGTTTTGCGCGAGCTTTGGGGAGATGCAACAACACGTACTTTGCGATGCGTAACATGTTTAATTCTAGACTCGTTCCTGCAATCCGGAAGGTGCAGCTCTTCGACTTGTATGTCACATCACGCTGGTTGTGGTGCAGTGGCCTGGTTTGGCACACAAAGCAGGCTATCAAGGCTCTGTACAGCCATCAAACCACGCTCCTCTTGGGTCTACTGGGCTTCAGGGCTGATTTCTTCGGCGAGTTTTTGCATAATTTAGTTGCGAAACGCAGAGTCGTCCTGGACCGGCTTAAACTTGAAGTCAACTTGAAGGCTGGTCCCTGAAGTGGCTTTAAACAAACCTGGCGGTACTGGGGGCACGCTGCCCGCTCCGAGATAGCAACCCCCTTGCGATACCTATTGCATAGGGCACGGGACGGTCCAGCTCATGGCAGGAAACGCCTTGCCTGTTTGGGTATCCAGGACACCGCTGTGACGTATGCAACAGGTTTTCGGGGTCCTCGGCAGCGCCAACTACAGAAGGCCACACTCCGTGGTCGCCTGTGGATACGAGCCAACCGGAGGACCGAAGGCTCTTCTCTACAGACAAGGTCCTCCAACAGGCGAAGGCGATGGACACGGACTGCATGCATCTGTGGGTCCACCATGTTCCACCCCGGGGCCGGACTACCATGGGTGCTGCTTGTGTGCTTTGTCCTCTACAACGCATCGCCTGGGTCGAGAGGCCGAGGGGACAGCCACCCGCTCCATCAAGGACATCATGCTGTCCACGGAGGAGTACGCGAGTCGAAAGCTCCGCCTGGAACCTCAACAGAAGAGTCAATGTGATCGGTACGCAGATCCAGAACCTCCAGACCGACCTTGACCACCCAGCGCAAGGTGGACGGCTTTGCCCAATCTGCGAGGGCCTGGGACTCTGCGAGTACTTCTACGACCACGGATTCAGAGGTGCTCAAGATTTTGGTGCAGTATTTAGGGAGTTCCAGGACATCTTGAACAGCCAGACACATGAGAGCTCAGCTCTCATCGCTCGGGTCACTGGGATGGAGGGGCTGCTGGAGACCATCGTTGCAAAACTGGCGAGTGTTGAGCACACCCTGGCGAAGATGAATGTGGCGAAACCCAAAGCGCCTCCACCAGCAATGCCGGCGCCAATGATGCCCCCGCCGGCGATGCCAGCGGAACAAGGCCCAGGACCGGCTCCCGCCATGCCACCAGGACAGTGGGCAGGGCACCGGGCATGGGGTCCATACGCATCCCGGAAAGACGTACCAGGTCCCCGCTTTCGTCGGTCAGTAGTTGTAGTCCCTGTCCGAGTATCCTACGTGCCCTTTAGCTTGGTCTTGCAAAAACTAAGTCCGGACCATACAGTGCTGACGCTTGGAGACCGGGTACTGTTTTTGCACTGTTTTACTTGCACTGTACTGCCTTGCCTTGCCTCCCTGCCTTGCCCTGCATGTTTTTCATGCTGCTGTACTGTTTTTCCCCACCTGGGGCGGCCTTGTGCCATGTACCATAAGTATTCGCTACAGTGTATGTTTGCCCTTGAGACCCAGTGCTTTGCCACTGCGAGGTATATCCCTCATTATGGACCCCACCAAGACGCGATTACACCCCCCGCACAGGGTATGTTCCCTCGTGTGGCCTCCTGGCATGCACCCACGAAAACCACACCGAGGGTATATTCCTTCATGCCTTAGAGACAGCTGGTGCCTCGATGCAGCCATGGCCTCGCCTTGTTACGTGGGTCCCGCTTCTGGAATGCGGCAAATGCCTCAACCCTCTGGAAGCTGAATGAGTGCATGGCAGTGGCCTCAAAGTGCTGGATTTTGGTGCCTGTGAAACAAGTCTGAACCCTTTGGATGGACATCGCAGGACAGCGCCTCTGTTTTCTACAGGAAGATTTGGTGTCTATAGAAACGACCAGATACCGATGGAGAAATCTGGTGACAAGATCTGAGCTCGTCTGCCCATGAGCACCATGATGACTGAAGGGATGCTGCAGCCTCTCATGGGAGGGGTACATGGAACTCTTGTGTGCAACAGCTTCGTGTTCCCTGGTGACTGGTCTCAGTATACGTAGCTGCATTGAAGCCCCCTCCGAGCTGAACATGCCCATTGGTAGGACCTTGTAAGCTGTGGATGCATGGGCAAATGGAATGCAACCAAACGACGACTGGCCTCCGCAAGTGCAGCTGCTTTGAAGTCTGCGCGCTGGGTTTGTACCTGCTGGCTACTCCTGCTGGCTGTAGGGAGGAAGCTGGAGGATCTGGAGGCTGGCACCCGCCAGGCGACTGGTGGACTAATCTGCTGGGCGACTACAAGAGCTCACCTTGTAAGCTGGAATAGATTGGAGTGAAGATGGGAAACTTGATGTCGCTGCCTACGTGACGCGAGAGCTATTTCAGTATGCTCGCGTGCCGTGGGTCTAGGTGGTGGATATGTCGACGGATGTTTTTGAATTGTCTGATTGTTAACGTTGGCGCGCATGTTCGGTGAAAAGTGCTGACATGTGACTGCTGCAATCAAACCAGTGAATAGGCTGGGTGTGCAGACGGCTCCGGAATAAGCCAAACCTCGCCCGCCCGTCGAGTGCGAGTGACAAAAAATGTAGGATAATTATGTACAGTTACAGTTTACGTATATGTATTTAGTGACAGTATGTATACACATCGCATTACCAGCCCGTATCGGGATCAAGATGTATGCTTGCCCCCTTCAGCTTTCCAAAAGAAGCCCCTTCTGTAAATGCCAGACGTCCGCCGAATGTAGGCACTGCGCCAGGAGACATGCGCAGTGTAAATTCGGAACAGATACAAGACGCTGTGTTTTCCGACATTGGCGCTGCGGACGGAGTAGAAATACGTAGCTACCAGCATAGAGCAGCAATGCAAGCCTGTAAGAGCGCAAATGCCGTATTTGTTTAAGATATGCGTAGTTACTAAACACCTTTGCCGCAAGCAGACACCTGCAAATTGTTACCATGATGCCAATACGATGTCGAGAATCATGGAATTCTGTCAAAGCCGATGGAAATCCGCCAAAATCCTTTGGAGTGCGATCAAAGTGTGGTTAAGATCTATGAATCAATCAGCTTCTTCAGAGCATTTCGGGCAGTAGACAGATAAAACACAACAAGCTACACACGAAAAAACTTGATGCAGAAAGCCAGAACCATCGGGAAATGCCCCGAAACCTACGCGACAAACAAACCATACAAAAAAACGAGTTAGAACAAAGACACGTCGTCTCGAGTGACTCCGGACGGTTTGCATGTGTGTGTTTCGTAGTTCAGGGACAACACCGCGCGAAACTGTGGTGAGCACAGATTTGCTCGGGGGAGGTGCTAGAAGGAGGTCACTTGTGATGGGGCGTTTTACCGCGGTTTTGCGCACATCTTGAAGCAAGCGTTCACGGCAAACTTTATGTGGACGACGATGTCACACTTATATATTCGCTTGGACGGGCAGTGGGGTACTGCGGAAAGCCATGAAAGGAAATATGTTCGACTTTAGTATTGCGCAAGGAGGCGCTGTTCCGGATGATATCCTTGCCCAAACGGGCCCTTCAGCCGTAGTAGATCCCTGAATATTAGCAAAACCTATAGGATAGACACGAAACACTTGGAAGACATTTCATGACGCAAGTGAAAGCATTAAGCTAAGAAATCTGAGGCCCCAAAGGCCGTCGGGCCCTCTGGCCAAGCAATGTACATGTTCGGCCGTACATGGCCAGGAATGAAGCCCGTGCGACATTCAACTATGCATGCACGCTGCAAATGGGCAGTTGGGCGCAAGCAACTGTAATTGCTCATGTTGGATGCCTGCATCCTAGCAGATATGTCAACACGGATGTGACTAGCCCCCCCCACCCCCACCCTTCACTTCTGAAGCGACCTTCGAAGATCTTCGAAGCAAAAATTAAGCAACTTAGAGACGAAGTCCCGACGCTGCTCTTCTTGCAATTATACCTAAATTATTACGGTTCGGGCATGGATGCTCTGCGTGGGGTCGAAGTGGACGTTATTACGGTTCGGGCAAGCAAGCAACCTCACTGGTGAAGTCCCGATGCAGCGTTTCCTTGAATGAAGCTAACACCCAAGATTTAGGCTTGCAAAATCTGAGGAGTCATTGGTGAATCTGATACCAAAAATAAACCCCGCTCTGGTACTCATGATTATTGGGCTTATGTGCTGCTGGCTCTTGTGAAGCTGCATCTGTTGGGTGCTCGGGATCGGAGCACCGAATTGAGCCTGGCCTGCCTTGCGCGAGTGTCAAAGTCGAATCGTCTCACACCCAACTATCCAAGAAGACCGGAACCGAACCACAGAAACCCAGAAATTGTACTCCGCCTGGTCATGCTTAACTCGCCCTCCTTCAAGCTGCCAGGCCACGCTCTCCGGGGCACGCAAACTGCAACCGCGAGGAGCAAAAGAACTGCGCTCCAGACTTCACATGCATAGCAGGGCATTGCCTGCTGCGTAGTTTCTCATCAGCTAACCTCGCCGTTGGGCCCAAGAATGCATTGCAGACAAAGGCGGAGCTCTTCTCAGAGGGACGCAGCTCTCACACTGTTTGGGAACAGCTTATTCAAAAATCGTAGCTCGAGCCATCAAACATCCAAACTTCAGTGCCCCAACTTTGGTCTCGCGAACGTCTACGGTAACCACGAAATCATGTAGGCCGGCCCAGATCCGCGCAGCAAGCGATGACTGCCGGACTGCCAAGGCTGTGCCAGGGACACCAAGCAGGTCAAGAGAAGAGCCTTCGGCCAGTCATCACCGATGTTGTTGAATGTTGGCACTTTGGCAGGAGCTTCCGGCACATACAGGTGCTCGCGAAGCAACATGCCAACACCATCACGTTGGGACAGCTGATGAGGCAGGGCAAGTCTAGCGGGGAGCGGAGTTGAGTTGGTTTCGAGCGAACGGCGCAGGAACACGCGCTCGGACCCGGTGTCGCTGATCCGCCAGGCAAGGGGGCTTCCAACCCCCAAAATTGCTTCAAAAAGGTAGCTGTTGCTGAAAGACTGCAGCGTGTAGCGTAGCGTCGGCGGGAGCGGCGCGGCGGTTCCGCCTGGCAGGGCCAATGGCTTCGTGGCCAACTCCCGATCCGCTTCGCGCGGCGCCTGGACGAATTCCTGCAACTTCCGCTGGCGCCTCAGCTCGGCAGCTAGAGACGGATCACACTTCCTATGTGTCCTCTGCAGCACGCCAGGTACGTAGTGGTGCACAACAGAAACATCAAGCAGGTCCATTGCGGCTTTGGGGTGTTGGAACACTTGGGACCTCAGTGTGGAGGTCTTGGATATCTACGTCGACACGTTCGAGAGTGTGTCAGACTTCCCCAGCATCTTGACAGAGAAAGATGAGGCCGAGCGCCCGGGCGCCCGTGAGGAGCCAGTGCGGTCTAACGCGACGACGCGGCAGGCGGAGTTTGCAGGGCTTGTGAAAGCACAGCTGGAGAAACATCAGCAAGTGGCGAGGCCCTTAGAAGCAGAGAGTCAGAGGCTCTCAGAGGCGACAGACGCTTCCGCTGCGTCTCGTTAAGGCCCGGCTCGTCGCTGAAGGCTATCGCGAGGCACGGTAAAGGACGGAGAGTCGAAGTTCGTGCTCGGATTCAACTTCGAACGCGAGCGCATCCAAAATCGACCGTTCCAGCGTTCATTATGAATACAGAAAATTCAGCTTTGTAGCTCTTCACGATCTGCTTGTGAGGTGCGGATGGCATATCCCCACTTCCGCTTGGACAGTTTCCTGGACCGCCCATGCACCCAGAAGTGCGTCTTGCTTGTTTCTGCATTGGGGCCGGTTGCGATGTGTGGCTGGGGAAGCTTTCCGGCTAAGGTTTGTTTATCACACGGATATCAGTCCGTATCTTGATGGCCGCTTGCGCTGCAGATGTTGAGCAACAGCGCCCCTCACTGCGTGTCTCGAAGTCAGAGATGGGCACTTAAGGAGAACTACATCCGAATGCGCACTCCGCAAGACGGCTTTATAGGCCTGGTGAACACTTTTCACAGTTCGCATAGACAAGCCTCTGTTACATGTTGGCAGGCGTAGTTCAACGGGACATGTCGCCGCATAGGATCATCCAGGACGGCGCAGGGCCTCGTAGGGCCACTACAGCCGCCGGATCCTGCCAGCTCACAGGAGCTGAGCAACGAGATCACCCGCCTTACCGAGGTGGGGTCACGCCAACGCGCATGCTTTCTCTTGCAGTGCGTCGGTGCAGGCCATCTACGGCGTGGCACCAGAGATCGAGCCTGGAGCCCAGACGGGGGAAGACATCCAAGATCCTCATGTCTCGCTGAGGTTCCGCGGGAACATGTCCTGCACCTTGGACTACATCCCGCGGCATGTGCAGTTCATGTGCCAGGAGCCGAATCGGATAGATATACTTGTCGGTGTGCCACATCGCAGCTAGAGCGCTCGGCATCGCAGGAGCTTCTAAAGAACGCTGTCCGTGCCACCACGGAGCGGCACAAGCGACTTGTCCGGAGAGAGAGTTCACCCAAGAGGCCTGGCCTCGAGATCGGTTTTTGCATTTCTCAAGTCGGAGGCCTCGGGATCGGCAGATCGGCTTTGCTTCGCCGTCGCCTAAGATGCTACTTGTATCGCAGCTAGCGCCAGCTACTGGAGCAGCATCCTGCGGCTCTCGGCCGAAATTGCTTCAGGGTGACAAAAATCTCTCCTTGTCTCGGCGTCTCCATATTACAAGTAGTTCAGCGTGTGTCTCGTTGTTTTGTGAGTTGTCTTGGTGTTTCGACCCGACTGATCTGTATCCAGGCTTTCTCTGTGTCTCGTTTCCTGCGCTTAGGTTCTGCTGTAAACCGTGCGCTCTTTTGTCTAGGGATTTCTTTGGGCTAAATCCCGCGGCATTCCCACACTGGCTCTGCTCCGGTCGTCCGAAAATTTCGGTCTTCCTCCATCTCTGAGTGGTTGAGGTTCCTAATGCTGATGTAAGTCTCTGGGAGTGTTTCGTGACTTGGCATTTAGCTTTCGGTGTGAGACCTGTGTCCTGGATTGGCCTTGTCCCATTTTCGAGATGAGGACCCGCAGTCTGGTACACGTTCTTGGCGCTTTAGAGTAGAGAAAGCGCGCATGTGACAAAAGGTTCTGCGAGACTTTGCCAAGTAGGTGTTTTCGACACCTTCACGTTTCAGAATCGGATCGTTACTTCTGGGTTTCTCCGTTTGATTTGAGTCGCTCATGAGACGGTTGGGACAAACCCGGGGGCATCACAGTATGTTAGCTTCCCAAATGGTGGTGCGCAGGCCAGCAATGCCCAAAGTTGCGCCTTGGCAGAGAAGGTCTATGCTTCGCCGCGCTTGCATGGGCCTCTTCGGAGCCAGGTGGTAGAGCTGCAGAAGGGCGACGTCCATGTCATTATCAAGATCAGCGACCAGGAATTGCGAGTGTATGCAAGTGTCGTTGGAAATGTCCGATCCTTGGCGCTGGTGTGGCATTGCCGGAGGGCGGTGGTGTGCCGAAGAAGGTCCAAGATGAGGCATGTTCCGGCGACTCGCTTCCCGCTTGCTCCTTGCCCCTCCCGCCGAGGCCTGGCAGTATGGCTGGACCACGGCAGACAACGACCATGAGGACACTGTGCCAGCTTTGTGAGGTGCATGAGTTTTTTCATGCGTGCTGCGCTGAGGACGAGGAGGACCCCTACTCCGGCTGCACCTGGCGCAAGGAGCTGGCCGGTTACGGCTTTGGATTGCCTCTCACAAGGTGAGGCGGCGAGAGACAAGAGCAATGCTCGGACTAGTGTGGCACTCAAAGCTGGGCGTTGTTCACTACATGTTTGCAGCAGGCTACATGCCCAGTATTTCGGCGGTGACGTCTTCATGCAGGCTCTGCCAGGACACGGCAGCTGCCTCAGCACCGTTATTCTCGCAGGTGTGATCTTGCCGCTGCAAAGGCACGGACATGTACCTGCTCTTGAACCACCTGAAGCAGGGGAGCCCCTCCACAGAAGAAGACGATCCATCGACTGTCCAAGCCTTGGAAGAAAATGCTAATGCACTCCGGAAGCATTTGTTTGCAAGGCGCTGACAGTGACTGAAAATCAGTCGGTGAATGCGCCATGAGACGAGCCCAAAGGTCTGCTTTGACAGAGCAAGGCGGACAAAAACTCTGCAGATGAGCTTGATATGCCACTGACATTTCACACTTTCTGCCAGCGCCACTCGCTCCTCTTCCTTTCCAACCTCGAATTGGATGTCTAACGCTTGTTGGCTTCATCCTTCAAGAAGACTGCACTGATGTAGTGAACCCCAAAACTGTAGTCTTGCAAACTGCGGCAGAGCATGCAGCATCAGCACGCTCCCAAGGCGGTGCTTTGCTGCTTCTCCTCTAGTCCCTTCAGTTCCTTCACACTCTTCGAATGCTCGTGGCTCGTGGTGGCCCAGTCTTCGCAGGAGCCGAGGATGCAAACCAAAAGAAGGGCACATGAGAGAAGACTGCACTGATGGCCTGCACTTTGGCAGAGGCGCCTGCGACCTGTCGGTGGCCCTTTCTCTGCGTACAGGAGACAAGAGTTGAAGAATTGCGAACAACCTCCATGTAAAGTAGTGTAACCTGACTGTGTAACTTCTGTGACAAGATGTACGCCAACCTCATTTGGCTCAAGATGAAAAGGAGCGCACTGAGTCGTGCTTCTTCGTTCAGGGCCGGGGTTCCTTTTGGGTTTCCCCTTCCCTTTCCTTCTTGTTCCTACCCTGACATAGTGGTTTCTGTGTTTGGGGTCGGAATAACTGGTTATCAGCCGTAGTGTTCGTTCTTCCCTTGAGGTTTGGTGAAGTCCTTTAGAGCGTAAGTCTCTCCATGGATGCACCGGACCCAGATCGTGGCCCAGAGATCCTTCCGAGGCCACGTGGGATCCGAGCTGGGAAAAGTGCGGAACGTAAATGAAGCGTACCAGCAGTACCAGCTGAATCTTCAACCGTTCCGATATACTTCCTTAGACGACGTGCCAGTCCGTCACCAAGACGGCAGTCAGCGGCCGCTTTATTCAAGGCCAGGGTGGCGTCCCATCTTTGAATCCGACAGCGAGCCCGAGGAAGAATTGGTCGAGGTTGAAATAGAAGCAGAGGAGCCGCCACTCATTCCAAAGGCGTCAGGGGCAGTGCCGGGATTTCATAGGATCCGCACGCCACCTGCTCCTCCTGCGCCGCCTGTGCGACCGTCGTCTTCGTCATCGGCGAGCGCAGTGGCTATAGCACCTTCTCAGGGTCCGTCGGCGAAAGCATCTTCTTCAGTGCCTTCTGTTACAGCTTCAGTTTCTGGACAACGGTTGGCCCCTACGCCGAAGGTGAGGATTACTCCCGCAGCGAAGACTGCGGCGGTGCCTAAGGTGTCTGTTCCGACTCCGCCGGCGTATCCTCCTGATCCTAAGATTGCTGCTCCGAAGACTCCTCCCAAGAATCCGCCGAAGCCTCCAGCGTCGAAGCAGAGCCAGGAGAGTCAGACTGCAGTGATCCCGAAGGTGCCGCCGAAGTCAGCCCTCACTTCAGACCCTATCGTTGACCTACCGAGGAGCGTCTTGTTGTATTCACCAGACACTTTTAACAGGTGCAACTTCAGAGTCGAAGATAGCCAGCGGCTTGAGGGCAAGGTCATCGTATTTGACTTTCACAACGTGATTGACCGATATTATTGGGCACCTCGCGTTGGACAGCGGAAGCAGCAGTATAAGATCCCTTACCCGAACGAGGCGCCGGAGTTGCTCTCGGACGTTCAGGGTCTTCTTAAGCGTGTCCACAGAGCCGCAGAGGAGGCGGGAGCATTGGTGGTGATTTGCTCCCACATTGGTGAGGGATCCAGGAGCATCGAGGATTGGGCCTTGGACACCCTTCGAAACACCTTTATACAATCTGTTGGTCAACGCCAAGCCGATTTAGTCATCATCACTCGATCCCGCACAGGACGCCTCGGAAAGCTTGACATCTGTCGACGCCTCTTCCAACGGCCATCGTTGTTGATAATAGACGATAACACGGGGATCTGTGAGGAGTGGAACAGATCGGCTAACGCTGCTGCGTTTCACATCCAATTGCCTCGGCGGGATCTGCCGTCAATTGGTCGTTCCTTTTCCTCGATTTTCGAGGCGGAACCTTCCATTTTGAATTGGATTCTGGCTGAAGTGCTCAGCGTGTGCATTCGGACTCGGTGTGAAAGGCTGCCTCGCGCCACCACCTTGTCCTGGGCAGTTTGGTTTAAGGTTACTTTCAGGCTTCAGGGTACATCTGTGTGGTCTGTTAGGCGCATTGCGCCACTGACCGGGGGTATCTGTGTGGTCTGATCGGCGCATCGCGCCACTGACCTGCCTTCCTGCTAGCGCACTTCTGTCATCATGTCGCAATCTCAATCAACCCCAACTGATCCAAGCTCCTTGCTTGACATCTCCAGTGCTTCAGCAGCTGCGGTTCCGGGTATGAGGGATTCCTCTTGTGCTTCGGGTGGTTCAGAGAGTAGTTCAGCCTTGGTTGAACGCGAACGCTCACCTCCTGCCAACCGAAGAGCCTTAGCCCGGACTCCCAGGAAAGCTTCAGCTCCTTACCCAGCTGTCAATGTTCCTTTCGATGAGTCTGGTGTTCCTACTGTTGTTCACAACCAGATGCTCAACATAGGAGCAACGCCCCAGCAAGTCCTTGCTGCTCAGCAATTTGCTGCTGGTGAAGCTGCCAATCGAGTCGCCGCTCAGGCGGAGCTGCTACACCAGGCTTCTATCACTGCTGTTGATCAGCTTCGGGAACAGCTTAGGCTTTCAGAGATTAGATGAGGGGAATTGTTTGAGTACGGTCAATATGTTGAACGTCAGCTTGCGGAGGCAAAGGCGGAGTTGAATATGTTGAATTTTCAGCTAAATCAAGTCCGAGTAGAGTGCCAGATCAAGGAGAGAGAGATTCAGAGGCTTCGGTCGGCTGCTCCATGCACCTCGACCTCCGGATCTCCTCCTAAGCCACCGAAACCCCATGCTCCGCTAGTCGGTTCTGGGTCTGGTGCTAGTGAAGCGTCATGGACTCACCTTGAAGCTTCCGATCCTCCCACTCAGCATCTGCTGTACTCGGGTACCTTTGCTCCTCCGCCCGCACCTTCGTGTCCTGTTCCTCCCCAACCCACGTCTCCTGTATCAGACCCTCGCGTGGACCAGCTGATTGAGGTAGTTCAACAGTTAGTCCAACAGGTCGGTCAAAATGCTACGGGTACTGTTGAGACCAATGAAGATGACGAAGTTGAGGATCAAGAAGCTGCCAAAGAGCTTCGGGAAAAGGACATTGTTGATCAAAGGGCTCTCTTACATCTCAAGCTTGAACCTGTTCCTTCAGATGCGGCAAGTTTCAGAACTTGGAAGAATGGTTTCGAGGTTCAGCTGTCCAAGCTTGACACTTCGGGTCAAGGCCTTGTGTTGGCTTGGATTTCTAGAGGCTTTGATGCCGAGAGAGCTGACTTGCAAGATTCGGAGCTTCTTCCTCGTCTCGATGCATGGATAGCTGGTGAGCTGTCGTCAGGGCGTGTGTTGAAGCAGTCATCTGAACTTGAGCAAGATATCACTGCTTACATTGAAAGATGTAGCCAACTTGGCCAATCGCCCAAGGGTCGAGTGATGTTGTCTATCATCGCAAGGCATTACGACCTCGACCGGGTAAGAGGTTCTGTTCTGACTGCATCAACGTTGTTTCAGATCGAACTTGGTGGAAGTTCCATAAAGGACTTGAGAGACTTTGTGAATCGCATTCGCCTCGTCCTCAGTGCAATTCCGGTCGGGCAACGACCTGATGATCGCCTCACCGGTGAGTGGCTCTTTTATCGAGTGAAACACATTCGCAAGCTTGAGCGCGTTATCGAGGACATCAGGGAATCTGGGGCAACTTCGTATAGGCGTGAGTGGTCTTACTTATGGGACAAGATTCAGGATCTGATCGTGCAGGACCGTGAGGACTCCAACGCGCAGTCTGTGTTGAAGTCTCTGCAATCTGCCACACCTGCTCCGAAAACGAAGGCTGTTCCTGCTGTAGATGGAGGGAATGGTAAGCCGAAAGCTACTCCACCTGCTGCACCTCCTAAAGGTGCTCCGCCCAAAGCAGATCCTCCTCCTCCCCCGATTGCTCCTGGCGCCCCAGCGCCCAATGCAAACGCGAAAGCCAAATCAAAGGCTAAGGCTAAGGCGAAAGCCATGACTGATGCTGAGAAAGCCAAGACGCCTTGCATTTTCTTCCAGATGCCGTCGGGTTGCATTCATGGAGATAATTGTAAGTTTAGTCACAAGGCTGCTCCGCCGAAGTCGAAAGCCAAAGCCAAAGATGGAGCCAAGAGCAAACCTGGAGCAGTAGCCAAAGCTGTCGTCGCGCTTGTTGCTGCCTCTAGCTTGTGTACTCCTGTTATCTCTGCTGGTCCATCCTATGCTGTTGAATGGGCCGCTGACACTGCTGCTGGTCGTCACTTAGGTTCGGCCAAAACCTTGTTTGACCAAGGGATTCCGCGTGACGCCTATGATCGGTTCTTAGGCGCGTCTAAGTCTCCCGTGACGTTTCATACCGGCGGTGGTCCCCAACCTGGTGTGCAGACCCTCGGCTTCGAGTCTGACAACATGGATTTTGCAAATCATTACATGTTAGACAGTTGCCCTTTGGTCAGAAGCACAGGGATTGATGTTGATTCTGGGAAGGCCTTCATTTGGCTGCCCGGTAGTTTGCCTTTCTTCGTCAGTGACGTTTCGCAACTCGTTGTTCAATGTCCTGAGAAGTAAAGACATTATGCAACTCGCGTTGAAGAGCATGTTCCGATTTTCACCAGTCAGGTGAGGTTTACTCATGGGGCACCAAACCCTGTAAGTGACCTTTCAGGGGGGCTCGACAGCGAGGGTCCGGCTGCTATCCCAAGCGCCATCCAAAGCTCAGAGCACCATCCTGCTGAATTACGAGCCCGGCAAATGTTGACTTCTGGCGGCAACATCAGCTGTCGTGCAGTTCGCAATTTGTTTGGTTTGGTTGACAAGGAACCTGCTGCTAGAGGTGATCATGGGGAATCACTCTCAACTGGACTTTATCGTTTGGGCGGAAATCTTGGACTTGGGACTTCAGCCCAC